GTTTAATCCTTAAGACTCATTAAAAATTTTTTTAAGTTTTGTATGTCCAATGATGATATTCAATGGGTTCTAAAAAATAAAAATAAATAATTTTTTTTCTAAAAAAATCAAATGAAAAAATCAAATTAGTATATATAAATATAAAAAATTTTATTAAAACTTGAATTTATTATGTTTCATAAAATTTTAAATGTATATTACAATTCATATACATGCATTCATTGATAAGAAAGTCCTCGAGTTCACGAACATTGGTGACATCTAACTCAACCATCAGTGTATCATAGGACAATACCTATCATTAACAAGCAGCGAGTGGTAAAGAAAAATAAACACAACAGAGAAGACTAGGTGTAATCACATCCAAATTATTGTTGATTTAGGACAAAGTATCAAACTGGTCACATGCCAACCAATAAAAAAAAGAGTCATACCTTGTTTGATTCAGCAAGGGTAAGCACAGTTAGCTGCTTTATCTTGAGAATCAGGGACCAACTGAGGCTAGCATTGCCTAGAGTTTCAATGAAAACTATTTAGAAGAGGAATAGGAGACACTTTGTTCATAAATTATATAAGAAAACGTGACATGTGTATGAACAACTTTGATATGATCATCATCATTCTCAACAACAAAAAAAACACAAATTGGACATCTTACAACACATTAATGAACTCATTATACTTGCATAGATCATAAGAATTGACAAGAAACTAATGATCATTGATTGAAAAATTCAAATATCAAGAAGGTGGAATCACTTTCTTCCTAAGTACCTGTTTAGGGGGAGAAGCGGATTCACCATAATCACCATGAGCACAACTCTCCATGAACTGCAAAGTCACTTTACCTCCCAAGGAACGAGAAAATCCATTGAAAATCATCATATTCTGAAAATCGTCTTCCCCTCCTAGCTCATTGAACCCAACCTATCAATAAACATTGAAAATCAACATATTCTATAAAAAGATAACCAAGATTGAGTTTGTTTATTTACCACATAATCATCGACTTTAGTGTTCNTTATGAGGGCAAGAGTTGGAAGAACAACAATCTTGAGTCTCTCAGNTAANAANGGACTTTTCTCAGCTTGGATCTTCACAAAACGTGTCTCAATATGTTGNTTTGCCAATATACTCANGTGCTTATCCATCACCTGCAAAACAAAACAAACATTTNTGGTTTTATAGTAAGCTAATGAACAAGAAAGCACCACTTTTGGAGAAACAAATTTTTCTCCTTAACATTTCTTATCAAAAGATCACACATAAACTTAAAAACCCAACAACACAAGCAAATCAAACCCAAAANGAGATAACTTTGGCTAAAACCCAGCAAAATNTTCTNCAAATTGAANAATTCAATTGAAACCTGAACCCTAAAATTCAAATGCAAATAAAATGGAGGATATGATTCCATACTTTACATGGCCAATTCTCACGGTAAAAGTGGCAGACGACGCGTTTGCTGGATTTAACGGCGGCGAAGAATTCTTTTTCGGAATTCATAACTTAAAATGGTTCTTTGTACATTAAAAATTGAACAAACATACAAACAAATGATAAAAAGAAGGAGAATCAGACGAAGAACAATTTCCCATCAATTCGAGAAACCTTTGTAATCCCAAGTTCCAATTTAGTACAAATCAAGTATTACCAAACCAATAAATCGATCTCTAATTAGATATACAAAAGAAATACCATCTGATTGAAGTAATCGATAAACAACACAAAGAAGCACATACTTTCTTCGCCGACAACATCAAGAGCTTCTAATTTCTTCTTCATCAGTATCAACGAGAGAATCTCGTGGACTCGATCAAAGACATACCATCTTGGATTAAAAACCCCAAAATTAAAAGTCAAAAATCACCGCTCAGCCTCTGCCACATCTATGCCGCAACACCGGATTTTTTAATGTCGGATTTTCTCCGTTCAAGTTTGT